TTTACTGAAAAACATGAGGGACCACCTTTAATTATTGACTAATTAAATAGGTACATCTGAATCTCATTTGAATAGTTTATAGAAAATTTCCCATTGAGAGGATTTCATTACCAGTTTCCAGATACCGTATTAAATCATTCTACATAATAATTCCTTAAAACCATTAATCTAACAGATAAGAACCTGAAAAGGCAAAGATAACAGTTTGATTAATACCCAAAGATCTGCCCATAAACTTGCTCCTGACTTTGGAACTACGACGGCAACATTAGATAGGCGTTTAGCAGCAGGAATAATATCACTACTCCATCCAACAGCTACCCACACATCTCCAACTCCAAAAGCCTTTAAATAGTTTGAACTATCAAAGAGTCGGACCTTCAAATACATAAAATGAATAGCAACTTAGACTATTGTTTAGTAAAACATAAATGAAAAAAATTCTGTCAGGTATTGATTTTTATAGTTCTCCACCTCTATTCGGATAAAAATTAAAAAAACAACAGCAACAGTTGAGTGATCATCCAGCAACAATACCTGTTTGGCTAGCAAAGCCAGATTATGTTTAACAGCATCTCTCCCACCATTAACTTCTGCGTTGATATCATTTGTATTGTAGGAAGCCCCCATGTACTTCAAAACTGCACCAACAACTTCCCTAGGAGAATCAACCATTGAAATTCTCCCTGCAAGATCAGGCCTCCACAGATCTGCCCAGTCCTGCAATTTCAGTTGACAACTTGACATACTCTCACAATTACTCCAAGAGTTTTCTAGTATCTATTAAAAACAACTTACCTCTATAGGAGCCAACTTATGCTTTTGAAATTTATTTGTCTTGTAAGCTATTACCATGCAGCCCCATCGATATGGAGCAGCCCATATATCACCTTTAGGATCTATTTCCCCCTCACAGTTCCTGCGTAAGTATACCTGGAACTTTGTTAGGTAACGTCACATATACTATCAAGAGACAATCCAAAAGGATAATAACTAACTCAGCATTGTATATGCTATAATTAACATATGTAAAACAAATCAAGGAGATATATATACTAGGTTCTTACCATGATGAATATCAATAGGCGTTCAAAAGGAACAATAACTAACTAAAAATAAAAGAAGCTCGACAGAAAACCCAAAAAAGGGGGCTGCGCAAAAATAAGAGCAAAAGACCCGCTAGGAATCCCATGAAAGGGTGACCTAGGCAAAAGTTAGGGTTGCAAAAATGAACAAAAACAAAAGTCCGCTAAAACGCCACAAAAGGGTGTTTTAGGCAAAAATAAGGACAATAAAAAAAAAATAAAAGAAATCCATGATGATACCACGAGCCGAATTCTAGAAAGGTTCAAGGGAAGCTATCTAGGTTGTCAAAATCACAACGTCAATAAACAAAGATTTTCTTAACTTCATAAGTGTTTAATCAAACAAGCCTAAACACATAAGCCTACCTTGGCCAACCATTCTTACAAAAACCATTTTTGAAAAATAATCCCCTCTAAAACACAAACTTCAAAACAAAAATATCTTTCCCTTCTTTTCTCTCTTGTCCCAAAAGATTTTAGAATAATCTAGTGGAAGCATGGAGAAATAAATCATCACTGAAAATGGATCTAATCTGAATAACAAAATGGTGGAAGAACTGTGCCAAGAATTCAAGATCCAACACCACAACTCTTCCCCATATCGGCCAAAGATGAATGGGGCAGTCGAGGCAACCAATAAGAACATCAAGAAAATAGTGCAAAAGATGGTTGTCTCATTTAAAGACTGGCATGAGATGTTACCCTTCGCTCTTCATGGCTATAGGACTTCAGTACGCACGTCTACAGAAGCTACTCCATTCTCCCTCGTCTATGAGATGGAGGCAGTTCTACTCGTCGAAGTCGAGATACCTTCTCTAAGGGTAATCATGAAAGCAAAACTTTCCGAGGCAGAATGGGTTTAAAGCCAATACGACTGGTTGAACCTTATCAAAGAGAAACGGCTGAA